GCTTGGATATACATGTACCACGTGTGTGCATGGGACCCACAGAGGTCAGAAGAAGTTGTTGAATTTCCTGGAACTGGAGTTACAGATGGTTGTGAGCCAACACTCAATCACTAATAAACATAATTTGTCTGTTTATTTGATTTTTGTTTTTTCAAAACAGGGTTTCTCTGCAGCTCTGCCTGTCCTGGAACTCACTTTGTAGACCAGGCTGGCCTCAAACTCAGAGATCCACCTGCCTCTGCCTCCTGAGTGCTGGGATCAAAGGTGTGCGCCACTGCCAACCAGCTGCATTATGTAATTTTTAAATGGAAAGAAAGATTATATCCTCCTAGCCTTACCTGCAGATACTGTGTTTTCAGGGACCTGTAATCCTTGGGGATCAAGCCTAAGACGGAAAAAAGAAGGCAAGCACATGAGAAAAAAAGGCCATTCGAGGACCCCAGAAGAGGGCAGCCAAACCAATCAAATTGCACCATAATGGAGAGGCTGGACTGCGATACCCCTGCAGAGGACATACTGATTCCAAATGGATTGCTTAGTTTAATTTGCTTACTAAACGGTAAAGCCCAGTGTCCTGTCCTACGAAAGATCTCTGAGAAAGGTATATTCAACAATCACAACCACCAATCCCATCAGGAGACTCTGAGGCTATGACAGAAGAAGATAGGACTCTGCATTTCGGCTAAGCGACAGGGATTGGAAGTGATTTACAGCTACTGAGAAACAAGAGAGTGAAGGATTCCAAAGGTCTCAAATGTTTCTCCAGAGTGGTAAGAAGCTGGCCTTCCAGCTATGAGAAAGGGGACCCAGAAGAAGCAGAGCGTCTCCAGGTAGAGAGCAGTGAGGTTCACTGACCACCGCAGGGTCAAGAGTAAAGCATGTTGCCATGAAAGGTGCAGAACTGGGGCTTTCTGGAATGACTTCTTCTTTAAGGAGTCACTTTTCCTGGTCCTAGAGTAAGCATTATCAGGAAATCTTACTGAAGACAGGTCAAATGGACTGAGGAGAGAGACACCTCCAAACCTAACATGTGACAGGCATCGTAGAGTGGACTGAAGGTGGTCCAGGTGAGAGCTGAGCAGTAAGGTCCCCTAGGACCTGCTGACGATCCACCCCAAACAAGGAAAGCTTCGTTTAAAGGAAAATGAATCCAGTAAACAACAAAAACAGAAAATCCTGTTTGCTGAATCTTTCACAATCCACTCTTTGGTTGCCGAGGCGTATCTCCCCCTGGACTCACCGTTCTCAGTGATGGACAAAAGGCACATGAGGCGAAGGCTCTCTATAGGCGACACCTGCAGAGGGGGACGGCCATGGGGAGGGACGCTTCAGGATGCACGGGGAGGGACACTTCAGGATGCACGGGGAGGGACGCTTCAGGATGCATGCATGGGGAGGGACACTTCAGGATGCACGGGGAG